AGCAAATTTGGATGCGTCATGGCTGGCAGAATGCTCAGCACTTGGCTGCTGAGACCTTCAACCATTTGGTCACCCCAACTTGCAAAGGGGCGACAGAAGCTGACCAAATCTGGCTTTCGCCGGAGGCCGTTCAGCTGCTGCGAGGTGTCTGGGTCACGGATGACTTTATGGAGCACTCCACAGTTGCCATCAACCTGCAGATCCCTGAGTGCCAAGTTTATGTTCAGCGCTGGCCTCGCCCTGCCAAGGTTCCATGGAATGACATGTCTTTTGATGATTGGGAGCCTGCATGCAGTGTTTCGTTCCATGCGGGTGACAATCCCACTGAGTTCATGAAGGCATGGGCCAACAACTATGAGCAGGACATCAGCAAGCAGCTGGCATCATGCACTGGGAGCCGAATGCCCTCCCGCTGTCTTGGAAGAGCGCGACGGCTACAACCAGACGTGCAACCACAATCTACTCCTACATGCAAAACTAGTCGTGAAGGAGAGGTCAAGCTCATGAACTCCATGGTTGGGGCTGCTACACGTGCATGGTTTCGTCAGCTGAGGAGACTGCAAAGTCTCAAGCATGCGGTGTTTGCCAACAAATTGACGCATGCAGCGGTCACATACCGCATTGAACTGTGGCAGGCGATACGCCAAGCTGCAGGATTTGCCCCTGATTTCCCTACGTGGTGGGAGCGACAAGCTCATGAAGTGGACGGGCTTCTCCAGGTCCTTCCTCTTGCGGTTCCACAAGATCCTGCAATGGTGCAGGCCCTTTTTGAAAGCTTTCATGGTCATTTTCGAAGTTTTGAAGCCTGGCATCTTCAACAACGAGCTGCCAGCCTTAAAACCAAGTATCAAGGGGCCCTGGATGCTATCTACATGGACTTGCGTAAGGAGCCAAAACCTGGGGTCGATCAGCTTTGGAAGTCATGTTTCTACACCATTTTGGCTGTAGATCTTGAGAGTCAGCAAATTCAACTTGATAAAGATGTACAGGTGCAGCATGATTCTGTTTGGCTTCATCACAATTGTATGGTGCAGGTTTCTCAAGTTGCAGGTGACATTTGCACAGTTTCGGCACCTGAACGTTTTGAACCTGGTGATGAGCTGACTCAGCGTTTGTTTCTTTCAGACTCCAACGACATTTTGAGGGCCTTCGAAGCACACTGGCAGCCTCGCTGGAATGCTTTGGCCGAAGTTCCGGCTGTTGACTGGCAACGGATTGTCCAATTTGCTCAGACTCACATGGATCAGCATCAGTTCACATGGCAACCTATCACTAGGGAGCAATGGAGACAGACGGTGCAAAAGTTCAAAGTTGGTGCGGCCAGGGGGCCGGATGGCTTCGCCAAAGAGGACCTCGTGAATATGCCTTCATCATATGTTGACTCCTTTCTGGATTTGATACACTCCATTGAAACAGACCAAACACCATGGCCACAACAACTTACTTTTGGCACTGCGCTTGGCTTGGCGAAGATTGATGGAGCGCATGAAGAGGCCCATTTCCGGCCAATTACGTTGTTTTCCATCCTGTACAGAGCTTGGGCAAAACTACGTACCCGGCAGTTGATCCAACAGATGGCCAAATTCATCCCTCCTGAGGCTCTTGGTTTTTTGCCAGGACGGGAGACCACAGAAGTCTGGCTCATCTTGCAGGCTCAGATAGAGCTGATGATGCAGCATGGTTTGGATTTTTCTGGACTTTCCACAGACTTGAAGCGAGCATTCAACCATATAGGACGAGCACAAGTCTTCATGGTTGGTGAGCATGTGGGCCTGCCATGGCAGGTGATGAATGCGTGGAAGAAATTTCTGGCCGTTTTTGTGCGTCGCTTTGATGTCCATGGATGCCTTGGTGTCGAATTGGCTTCGTCCTCTGGTTTTCCTGAAGGATGCCCTTTATCCATTGTCGCTATGTTGGTGGTGGATTGGAGTTATCATGTTTACATGCGCATATTCTGCCCTGCAGTTTGCACATACTCCTTTGTGGATAACCTCACCCTGGCGGCAAGAGAGGCTGTAGCAGTGGCACAGGGCTTTTTTGCTTTGAGAACCATCTGCCAACTTTTTGGACTCCAGCCGGACGATGAGAAGACGTATGTTTGGGGGCTTACCAAAACCTCCAGAGCCATACTCAGCCAGCTGGGATTTGACTGCATGTCAGATGCCAATGAGTTGGGAGGGGCCATGACCTATGGCAGGGCCAGACGAAACAGAACTCTGCGGGCGAGGGGTGCAAAGCTGAAGCCTCGCTGGGATCAGTTGAAGAAGTCACCAGCGCCTCAATTGCAGAAATATGCGGTTTTACCCAAGGTGTTCTGGCCGCAAGCCATGCATGGTTCCACCAACTGCCTCATCTCTGACAATTATGCAGTGGAGTTACGGCGTTTGGCAGTGAAAGCATTGAAAGTCAGCGGTGCAGGGTCCAACCCTTTGTTGCGGTTGTCCTTGTCCAACGACATGGCCAACGACCCTGGCTATTATCAGCTGCAGCTCTGCATCAACACTTTTAGGAGATTACTGCGTAAGTCCTCCGAGCTGATGCACATGTGGCATTTTTGGCATCAACGATATGATGGGCGCCAACTTCCGGGGCCATTTGCACGACTCATTCATTGCCTTTCTGGAATTGGCTGGGCTGTGCAGGAGCCCCCATGCGTGATTGACCATGAGGGACACAGATGGAATATGATTGAAATTGACAACAAGAGCCTTCAAACTCTGATGCAAGATGCATGGTTACAATATGTGGCTAGTCAAGTGCACCACAAGACCATGCAAGGATTGAATGGGATTGACAAAGACCTCACATTGCTAGATGCTTCCAGCATGGTGCCCATTGATCGGGCTCGTTTGTCTGCCCTACATTCTGGAGCTTTCATCAGTGTGGCAGAGCATGCCAAATATGATGAGGAGAAGATCTCCGTTTGTGCCCTTTGTGGAACTGATGATGATCGTGAGCACTGGTTGCAATGTCCTAGATTTCAGAATCTTCGATTGGGCATCCCTGGCTGGCTTGCTGACAATGCAGCGTTGCCCCGGTGCACTGTGAATCATCTTCTTGTTCCACGACTTCCCAAACTGGTGGAATGGCGTCATCTCTTGTATCAGCTGCCTGACACTTCGGCTTCTTTTTGTTTTCAACCCCCCAAGTTTGGTTGTCATCATTTGTTTCTTGATGGTTCGTGTACGGTTGAGCAACATAAACAGTTACAACTTGCCTCGTGGGGAGTGATAGATGCAACAAGGGGTTTGGTAGTGTCAGCTGGCCATTTGCCTGGCATCACTCAATCAATTGACCGAGCAGAAGCCACGGCCCTTCTGAGTGCTTTGCGATGGGGAGCACATACTGATTTGGCATTGTGCCTTTGGTCTGACTCTCTGTCTACTGTTGATCTGGCTAACCATGTCATGCAGTTTGACCACATTCCGGCGGGTACGGCAAACTACGATCTCTGGCGTCTCATTCAAGATGCTCTTCAAGATCGGGCTGGCGCTTGCACTCTCATTCGATGGGTGCCTTCGCACATTCCCCATGAACAAGCAGAAGACGCATTTGAAGACTGGCTGATACACTGGAATGGCCTGGTTGACCGCCTGGCAGTCTGGATTAATCACCAGCGACCCACTGTGGTGTGGGACAGATTGAAGTCCTTGAGAAACAGCATTGATGAATGGAGCCGGAGAATACGCCAATTGCGGCAATTTTACTTTCTGGTTGCTGATCTGCAGCATGACACCACAGACTCTCGGGTTGTGGCGTTGGAAGTATCGTCTGACGACGAAGAGGAGATGCTATGGATCCCATGGGATGACAATTTGCCATTGAACTGGAGAGTCCAGTGCCTGCATGACCCGGCACCTGTGCCAGGCCCTTTTTTGGTCGCTATCATCGACTGGCTTTGTGCTGCTGCGCACTTCCCAGGCCGAGTGAGAGTGCTGAACGATGTTGAATTCGTTTTTGCTTTGACTTTAGATCCAGATTTTGAGTTCCCTTGTCAAGTTGATGGATCTCTGGATTGTACAATGAGGGCTCCGAACTGCCTTTTTCAGAGACCAACTTTGGGGGCACTATTGCGTGTTGTACAGACTGCATTGAATCACATATCCAGTTTGTTTCCGCATTTGGCTATCAGGACTCCTCCAAAGTCTTCTGTTGCGAAGGGTTTGCATCTGAAGTTTTCTGGTTTGCGGCTTTTTTGCCCGCATCAAATTTGGAAGGAGACCACTGACAAGCTACTGTGTTTCACACAGGCCCGCCAGGTGAAACGCACCAGTGATCTGGCCAGGCCGATGCCATGACCCAAGGACTCAGCTGCCGCAGCACTGCCCTGCCGTGCTCGCAGCTGCACAGAGTGTCCGAGCTATATATATACTGAGGGCGCTCTAATTCAAATGTCGCCCAGTGTCCAGATACAGTGACTAGAATAGAATCGCAGGACATATCAGCTTGAAGCCTTCCACTTCCACCCTCGGAAAAAAGGGGTAGCTTTTCCCAGTGATCTACCCCCAATTCCAATGAATCATCATCATGTTCACCAAAAGTGTCATCACCTGGTGGCAAATACCCCTTTTTGTTGACACACCTAAACATCATATAATCGTGGTCAATACCCGCAATATAAACCCATCGAATCGTTGGTTGAACCCCATTTAAGGTCGGTTAAACCCCGTCAAAAACAAGCCCACGTCCCCACTTTACAGTTGGTATAACCTTCCATGGTACCACCATTGTATCCCCATTCTATACCCCCATTGTATATCCCCATTAGCATCCCCAAACTGGAAAAATCACTCATCCCTGTAGTGTTACCCCACATTATATCCCATATGATCCCCAAATTATCCCATGTTACAAGCTCCCTCTTAATGGTTCGTCTTATCTCCCACTATATCCATGTATATCGCACTATATACCCCAGTAAATCCCGAAAAAATGCCATTTGGAAATGCCATCCCATATCATTAGCCATTTGTTTAGCCATTTCCAACACAAAATTGGACCTCTGGGGCGGTGGTGTGTGCTGCTTGATTTCTCGAAGCTTTACCTGGACGTCTCAGAGGGAGTATCATGAGTCAAGTCATGGGCTACCCAACAGAATTGGCTGTGTGCCCATGTAAAAAATCCTGGTCCTACTGATCAAGATGTCTGAAATTCTCAGCATCACTCAGGATCCCACCAGCAAGAGTCCAGGCGGATGTCGAGCATGTTGCAGTTGCTGAAATAACGTCTGAATGTCCTCCAAATGAAAGAGGAAACCCCCGCACCTCTTGGTTCCGAAAACTGGTTGAAACAGCAGCATGGATTCCGTACAGAAACCGACTCTAAAAGGTGGTAGTTGAATGAACAATGCAACTTTGGCACAGCTAAAAGGTATGTCCGAAAATTAGGAATACCATGGAATAGCCTTAAAATGGCCATTTACATTCATTTGCTGAATTCAGAGAAATGATGATCAACCAATGGATAATTTTCAGGTACCAACCCCCATTTCCATGACATGACCTGCAGGAACGTGGTACGTCGTCGCGACATGACCTGCCAGGGGAGGGATTTGGATGGCACCAGGCTGCTGCCATCGGCCAAGCCACATCTCGCAGCTCATTGAAGACGCGATCATCTAAGCCTCAGGCAGAACGCGGAAATGCGTGTCCTCTATCAATGGGAATTTCACGATCCTAAAATGGAGGTACTGTACCATACAAGGCCATATTTTGGGGGGATATTCCCTTACATAGGCCTTACATAGGCCTTATACAGGCCTTATATATGGTAGGTACCTCCAATTTAGGTTCCTGAAATGGCCATTGAGAGAGAGAGAGAGAGTATAACATATATTATACATATAATATAATACAATATAATACAATATAATACAATATAATATAATACAATATAATACAATATAATATAATATAATACAATATAATACAATATAATATAATACAATATAATATAATATAATATAATACAATAAAACATAATATAACATAATATAATATAATATAATTTAGTTTAATTTAATACAATATAATACAATATAATAAAACATAATATAACATAATATAATATAATATAATAAATATATATATATGTGTGTGGGCGTGTGTGTCTGTGTGCGTGTTTATTTATTTATGTTTTATTTATTTAATCTATTTATTTATTTATACACATATATTTGTGCACATGGATGATTTTAGTGTTGCTTTATTAAGCTTTTTTCATAGCTTGAAAGCTAAGGACACGGGCATCAGTGTGTTATTCCAAAACCAAGTAGAGATCACTAACACCCTCTGGCCTAGAGGCTTGTATCTTGAGGGATCAGCAAGCACTTCAACAAATATAAAGTGAGGTGATGTTGGTGTTCAGTCTTATCCCATCTAATGTGGTAAACCCCATGGTAAACCATGTCCAACTCTACTATTCGAGGTGATTTCGATCTGTACCCAAATGGGGCTGACCTAAAACCCCTACCCATTCATCCATTGCGTGTCCAATTTGTGGGGGGCTGATTGAACTTGAAAAGTATTTGAGACCTGATCAAGGAGCCTGAAGGCTATAAACATATAAGGATAAACCCTAATTGTCCAAGTTTGTTCAGGTTCGTGAAACAGCCCAAATGGTATAACTAGGCAATTATGGTGTGTCATCTTGTCCCCAACATGGCTCCCGCTCCAACATCTTTGGTCCAATATCAGGGTATATCAGGGTTGCCCTGTGCTGGGCGCTGCGCCAAAACGTTGTTTAAACTCACTGAGCTGATCCTTCGCTGATGCTGATGCTGCTGCTGCTGATGATGATGATGACGACGACGACGAGGATGACGATGATGACAACTTGTACCGGTAATGATTATGGAAAAAAGAAACGCGATAAGTATAATAAACATTATGTGTAATTATAGGCCCCGTTCTTTTCATTCCTCTTGAAGCCTCAAAATGGTCTTAACAGACTGAGCTATGGCCGATTTCCTAAGCTTTCCACTGGCTAGCATGCTACTCGATGAAATGCTAACCCTCGCAAATCCACGGAAGTCCTCAAAGACTTGTTGAGAAACACCTGCGTCGAAGCACATTTCACAGGGCCATTTTTTTATCTCAACTCGTGTTGCCACATGGGTGTCGTTTGACATTGCCGGTGGTTTAGGCCTTTCCGCATTTTTCCATCAAAAGCGAGCGAGTGCCACCAGTGTGCGGGTGTGAAACACAAAATATGCTATTTTGGGGACCCCCGCCAGTAATGAATTAGGTCTGTATTAGTCCGGGGTTGACATAAGTCAGACTGGGTACACTGCGCTCTTCCAACGGAAAAGCGGGCTGACCTGGTGGTTCATCCTCATCAATACCCTGCAACTTCATAATCGCAGCCTCAAGTCCGGCTCAGTCTGGCTGAGAGTGACTTGGAACATCATGAAACAAGATATCCTGTAGACTAACATGGAGTTGGAGGCAAATGAAGCAGCGATGTGTAGTCTATTTAAATATAATCAAAATCCGTTTTTGTCCTAACACCAGATATTGCCAGATGTTCCATGGCCGTTAGAGCCTCCCGTTCCACCACCAGTTCCCAGAAGTGCTCGCAGCCTGAAACCTGAGATACCAACTTTCGCTTGCTCCTGCAGTTGTTCCTCAGATCTCCAAATCTCATCCAAAGTTCATACGAATCGGATTTTTCGGATGATTTTGATTGAAACAGCTGGGGTCCCTCCAAAATCCACCAAGACTAGAGTGGTACCAAGGATCTTCCAGAGAAGCAGTGGACACGACAGCTGGTGCCTGGCTCGATCGGTTTTCCCAGCTCTTTGCGTATCTATTGTCAATTTATGGGGCTTATCTATCAATTTATCTATCAATTTATCGATGTTTATAGATACTTATAGGCAATCAACTTGATCTATCAAAGTCTATCAATTTATCGGTTTGTAGTTTGTATCTATATTTAGGTTCATATTCTTTCAACCCAGAGCCATTTCGACTTCATTCCTGGGCACGCGCGCCTCCTGGTAGCCGCCTAGCATTCAATACATCTTGGGAGATTGGCATACGGGCCTTGGGTTCAAAAAAAATTGGGAAGTGGGAAACCCGAAAATTGTGGTAAACCCGATCATAGAATATAATAAACCTACCATAACCTACCATATTTGGGAAATTTTGGGGATGTGTTTTTACGAGCCAACGGTGAAATCGGGGATGAGTTATGGATGCACCTGGAGGCTGTGGGACCGGGATCGCCGGGGCATCTGCCTCGGTTTGCGGGACGGGATTTTGATGGGTGGCTTGTGAACCATCACTAAACACTAGGAAGATCTGATCGGATTTCAGAAGGGCATATTAAAGATAGTAGCTTATTAGTTGGGTTTGTATCTATTTATTATATAGTTGGGGGTCACTTTTGGGGGGATTGCTGAATCCCCATGCTTCTTTGCCCGCATCCTCGTCGTTCCAGAACAATGCCATGCTCCGAAAACGTTGCATGAAAACATGCACCGCCAAAGACCATATGAAGCGAGTCGCAGAACCAGCTCCACCTATGGCGGAGGGCATGTATCGATGCTAGGACGTAACTAGGATCCTGTGAGTCAAGACTTAAATCATGATACTCCAATACATCATGAGCTCCTGAGAGTTGAGTGGAGCTCCGATAATCCAATTTGTCGAACTAAAATTAGCAACCCAGCCCCGAGGCCGGAAAAAGCCCCCGATTTCTCAACGAAATTCCATCAATTTTGATATGATGTTGCTTCATCTTCTGATCAGATTGACTCATCTTCCCTGTCATCCAGTTCCACAAAATGCGGAGAAATGTCAGAACCCAACATTCTCAGTCACTCTCACCTTTTCCAGTTGCGGAACGAGCCCGCCTAGGCCCAGCAAACTGGAGGCCATAGCGGCAGGGCTGGGGCCACTGGGGCCACTGGGGCCACTGGGCCCGCTGCCACCGGCCGGAACCAGGGCGTCGCTGGGGACCTCGCCAACGGCTAGAGGGCCAGCCTGCCAAGGATCTGACCTGGCAAGCACCAGCGTCGGTGGGGACGACGCTGCATCCCTTGAAGTAGACTGTCACACATGAATTTCCAGCACAGTTGATCCAAACAAAGCTGTCATAGATGATAGCTGCTGATAGATGATTGCCAGTAGATTATCAAAAAAATCAGGCTCTCCGGCCATGTTTGATTTCCAAAGGCGGCCCAGGACCGGCCTAGGCAGTACCGCTGGCGGCGGCGTGACCACGGCAGCCTTGCCCAGGAAGGGCTGCCTTCAGGCGAGCCCCCAATCCCACGAAGTAATGAATATGACATGCCTTTTCTGCCTGAAAAGCGTGAAATTATGTAATTTTGTGAATGGTTTCGCGGTTTCGCATCGGGTCTTGCACATGATGCCAGCTGATTTGCCAGCTGATCAAAGTTCACCAAATTGATGATGCTGCGCAACATAGTGCTACTGTCCACGATAAATGGCAGCAGTGCACTCCATACTGATCTATTGATCTACTGGGGGCATTTCTAGCATCAGAATACAGAACCTCAGAAGGATTCGAGATGTGGAATCCATCAGAGGACCCACCATTTCACCAACACCTCATCCCTTCCAACTAGCGCACCCCGTTGCAGGGCCACCAAATCCCGGAGGGACACCAGAGCTTTTTGCCTCAGAATCATCACAAAATCACAATCCAAAGATGTCCAAAGTCCATGACCCACTACTTACAGTCGAAGGAATTCGTGTCATGAAACCCATCTGCGCCGAGTCACAAAGGATGCTGCTGGGGGTGGAGGGATCATTTGTCCCTGTGCCATGGGCTGACCTGGGTTTTCAGGGAGAAAAATTGACCAGAAATGCAATGTTGATTTACAAGGCCAAGATAGAGTGCTTCCTGGTAGTTCTTAAACTTGAAGTGCAGCAGTTCTGGGATAGATGGACTGTAAAGAAAGAAACAAACTGAGATAAAACTCTTTTGAAACTTCATCAAATTGAGCTCATTGCCACCGGCACCGGGCCACCTTTGGATTGCGCGGCATTTGGATGCCCTGCAATTTTGGTGGGGGAATGGAGTCTTCATCACAGCAGCCTACCTGGAAACTCTGGAAGTTTGACATAGAATCTGTGTTTGCTTATTTGGGTGTGTCGGAAACTAAGCTACCGCATTCCATCCCATGGTTGACCATCATGTTCCCCACGGATTTGCAGCTTTCCTGAGGCAGCAGCACTCCTGCCCCATCACCTCGCCAGGGGTCATCACCCTCAAATCTTAGTGGGTTAACCTCCCAGAATCTGGATAGTGGTGAATATATTACTACCATGATAGGAATATAATAGGGATATACTGCGGACTAGTTGACTATCAGTGTAATCAGCAGCAAGATGAGTGAGTGGCTTTGTCTGTCAATGGGGTCACCCGGGTTTACGGCCATGAAATGAGAAAAAATAGGTGTGACTAACTCAAGGACAATAGACTCATTAAATACATTAATTGTAAAAAAGTAGGAATTAAATAAGTAAATAAGTGAATGAATACATACCTAACTCTATATATAAGTATATACAAACAAATAGCTTTGAGAAACAAGATGTTGGGATGAAATGGAGTATTCCATGTTTTGAGACAACATCGGTAGGAGAAAAAGGAGAAAAAGGGCAATACATGCGATGAATATGTTTTTTTGATTCGAGCACCCTCCACCATGGCATTCATCCCCTGGCCTTTGCCCCCAGACCTCAGGGCTTGCGAACTGTGTCACTGTGTAATTACCGGTTCTCGCCCGGGACTCTCCATTTCAATGCTGATGCAAAACCTAAGCCGAAACCGTCAAAGCAAGTTTTCGATACTAAATCCTTGGTTTCATCACTTTTTAAGTCTATACTTGGTTTGATCGTTGGAAAGGAGATGTGATTTTCGATTTGGCGTAGACCTTGGCTTTTGAGCACCCTTCCGGGGCCCCGGACCACTGGCCCCAGCCTGAAATGCATTGGAGAAGACTCCCAGCCTGAACTGACCTATTGCCTGCTCGACCCTTGAAATGTACCTGACCGTCCATCCACTCTCACGAGAAAACATCTATCCCCCCACCTCATCAAAAGGACCAGAACTTGGGCGCTAGTTCCCATAAGATATCCAAATATCCCCAAATATACTATTGCTTTATATTGCTTTAATATTTAAGAAACCCCAGGTTTTGATGTGTCCCATGTGTCCCGGAAGACCTCCTCCACTGGCACTTGAGCTGCCCCATCCTGTGAAGAGTCGTCGCTTCAGTTCCCATTTTTCATAGCTGGCTGGGGGGTTCCAAATATCTAGAGTGTTTCAACATGTTTCAACCATACAAAAGGGATGATTGGTTGAGATGACTAATATTTTGGGATATATTTCTGTTACAAAATGGGTGATTGGTTGAGATTATGATTACATCACTACTATTTTTGGGATGGGTCAAGACATCATCCCAGGATGGAAAAAAACACTGGTCACTGGTCGCGTCACTTTTTTGGAAACTTTCGCTGCATGAACCCAAACTAAAATGGATTGACTGTGATCAGTTTGCTCACTCCAGATCCAAAATGCCTTTGCTGACTTGATCTGATATTCAATAACAGTTCTCAGACCCAAAGGGTGTCTACCAATCCCTTCCCCATTGCCATCCCAGAGGTTCGATGCACTTCCTTAGGTGTGGAGTCCCAAGAAATGACTGGATCTACTACAAGACGATGAGATACGATGAGATTTAGGCAATGTTGATGACAGCTGGGCATGTTTGACATCGCTTTCGCTGCCACTTCGCAGCTGACCTTCATCATAACCTCCTCCATAGCCACCATAGCCGCCATAATCGCCATAGTCGCCATACTCACCACCGTAACCTGACAGGGCCACTGCGAGCTCCAGCTCGGGGACTCAAGGGGCCGCATTTTGGTCGCAGTCTTGGGACCTCTGTCCATTGGAATGATGTTTCCCAGCAGCCGCCTCCCCAACTCATGCCGCTGCAACCACCTCGGGATGTGACAAGGTGGTGTCCGGGTGGATCTGCACCGATAGCAGCTCCAGTCGCCGCCTCTTGGCCCACTGCCCCTCGGATGTGGGTAGCATGCTACAGGAGGCTGAAGCAAGAAATACTGCGGGCCATGCAGTGAAGGAACTGGCAGAACCACGGTGCCGCCAAAAGTTGTCACAATGCCCCACGATGCCACAGGCACCCGAAAGGGTGATCCTGGTGATCCCAAAATCAATTCAATGTTTTTTTTTGCCAGAGCCGCTACCTCCGCCTCACATCTGGCCTTTGGCCGTCAGTGATCGACACCCCATCTGCACGCAGCAGGCTCGGGTGCTTCAGCTGGCAACCTAGGCACACTGGGGATGACCACGCTTCCATGACAAGGCCTACTTGGTGACCTCTTTTTCCCTGGAATCCATGGCTGAGAGCACTTTTCATGGTTCTTGACACAAAACCTTCAAGCAAACCATATTTGTGGACGGGTCACTTTATAACCTCTTAGTATACGGCAAATAAATGTTACTGTATATTCTGCAATTGTTATGTGATAAACCCAATGCAATAAACTTACCATGTGTGGAGGGTTTCTAGCACCCAGGGTAATATTCCGGATGGTTTCTTTTTCCTTTTTTCCTATGGGTATACCGCATCGTGGCATTTTCTAAGCCACTTCCCATCTCTGGTCGACATCTTCATTGGGACTCGTCCGACGCGGAAGATGACGAGGACGACGACGAGGATGAAGAGCTTTCCTCTGGTGGTGGCGCCTGGCACCAGCAAATCCAGGGAACTACGGGAACCTCCAAATTGATAGAAAATGTTGTTTAAACAGGTGTGTCTCAGTTTGAACAATGTGTATATATATAGTAGTGTGTGTGTGTGCACGTATTCATGTGCGTGTATACATATACATGTACATATACATATACATATACATATACATACGTATACATGTACATGTACATGTACATATACATATATATATACATATACATGTACATGTACATATACATTTACATATATATACATATGCATAGCTTCACGCGTATCTTTAGATTTCTCTTTGCCTCATAATGTTCAGGTGTCTACATAGCTTATTTGTTGTCGATCGCTGTCCTCCAATAGTTACATGTTTGCTACCTGCTACCATTTGCATACATACAAAACCCAAGGGGCTATGTAAGTTGTGTGCGTATGTGTACGCACACATGTACAGCATGTGTATAGTTGCATGTGCTGTACCGATATGTTGGGTAGCGGAGGGTCCATGAATAAAAGCTGTCTAACTGCTACTATGTAGAGATGTGATTTTAGATGCGCGTCATAGTTGTTCATACCGATCATCCAGAAGGGGAATGGATATGATATGATATGATATGATACGATACGTTACGATATGATATATATATATATATGTGTGTGTGTGATATATATATATGATATGATATACGCCAGGCTGGCCATCGAATAGGATCCCCAGGCCGCATCCCCAGGCCCCGTGCCCCGATGTGCCACGTGCCTCCTTCCCAACGAGAAGCTGCCTCACGGCTGCTCCCACCCAGCCGTTCTGTCGTTGAGCCTGACAGTAAAGGCGAGGTCATTCCAGGCTGCTGAGGATGCTGAGGATGCTGAGGATGCTGAGAGCACTGCATTTTTTTCTCGTCCTCCTTTGTCATCCCTCGGGCAGCCAAACATTGCGACATGTGGCACAAGATGCACAAGCGGCTCCGTGCTAAAGACTGCTGGACTCAATTTCAGGAGCATCCAGAGATGTAAGAGCATTTGAATGCGGACATGGTTGCTGCACATGACAGTCACAATGACTACAGCACTCATTCATAGAAATGCTGAAAAATCCCTCAGAACTTGACGTGGCATGTTCGCGGGTCAAACAAGAGAGAAGAACAACCATGGGCTTGCAAAAGCTGAACCCTATTTGGATAAAGAACCACACTGAGCCTTGTAGCGGGGATGCATTCATGATTTTTTCATGTTGATGCCGAAGTGAGCTCTGCAGAGGCGCCCTCCCTGAGTGCCAGACGCCCAACGTTTCCTCAAGCCATTTAACTCCCTCTGCTGACGTTGTACCTGCAGGCGACCAGCAGCACGACATGGTCATCCATCCGTGTGGAAACCGGCCCCGAACGGAAGCGACCAACAAACAACGAACGAATCCTCCACTGAACCCAGGTAGAGCCGGGACAACAACACCGAACCCATCCCAGCGATCAGCCTCCTTCCTCAAATCCTTATTTTCATCCGGTGCATCATCATCTTCGTCGTCTTCCAAATTTCCTGCTTGCCAATGGTCTGCCCAGCTCCCATATCATGTTGCGCATTGCGTGAAGGAAAATCTTATTATATATCCGTTGGGAGTCAGTTGGGAGGTCTGGAATTGCGGCTGCTGTGCTGTGTTTTATGTGGTACCAGGTTTTTTTTGGCGGAGCAAATGCAAAAAATGCTCAGGAGACCGTGCCCCAACATGATGCGATGCAGCACCAAGGGCTTGACGGGTAGGTTGCCGTTTGCCATCTGTATTCCTGGCATGGCCCAAGTTACAAGATTCTATCAGCATGTCGCAACGATAAACCGGAATCTTGGAGAACAGGAGAAACCAACAGAAACCAACAGGGTGGCAATACGAATTTGGCAAATTTGCATCCAATTGCAATGTCTTGGGGCACCGACATCTTACAATTCTTACAGGCCCCTTTTCTCCACTCTAAGACACTCGCTTTGCTCGTTGGATCCGGTGATCCACATGTCGGATTTGTGCACGCCTTCAGCTGGAAGGTGGAACCAGGGGATCAGGCAGTCGATGGTCGTGGGTCTATTCAGGGGCCCTAAATCCATAACTTCCGAAATGAAATTGACACCCCCTGTTGGTCAGCGGCACCCACTAAGCATGATCTGTCTCAAAAATGTTAACCCGACTGCAGCTGGTCACACGCACCCGAAAGAGTATTCGACACAGCATTCGAAACAACTCTGTAACATACGAGCATGACGAAAGACAGATAGATATGGATATAGATATATAGATATAGAGACATAGATATAGATCGATAGATCGATCGACCGACGGAGCGACCGAGAGACAGATGGATGGATAGATAGATATAGATGTGGGCCGCGATGCCAATGGACAGTATCGAACGGCTCCATTGAAGGAATACCCCCCTGCCATGTGCCGAGCACTGGCATTAGCATTTGCTAGAGATCTATCCATATCGGCCACGACAGCTGATGTTTCAGAGGATTCCCATGAAGTGCCGCAGCGAGAAACGCATCAATGAGCCGAAGGGAAAAAAGACATAGATATTTAGAGATAGATATAGACTAAGATATAGACTAAGGTATAGACTAAGATAAAGACTATGATATAGGCTATGATATAGATAATTTATAGGTAGATATAGATAGATATAGACAGATATAGATAGAAATAGATAGATATAGATAGAAATAGATAGATATAGAAAGATGTAGATAGATTTAGATAGATAGAGATAGATAGATAGATATATGATAGATAGATAGATAGATCGATCGATCGATCAATCGATTAGATCGATTAGATCGATTAGATCGATGAGATCGATTAGATCGATTAGATCGATTAGATCGATTAGATCGATTGGATCGATTGGATCGATTAGATCGATTAGATCGATTAGATCGATTAGATCGATTAGATCGATTAGATCGATTAGATCGACTAGATCGACTAGATCGACTAGATCGACTAGATCGATTAGATCGATTAGATCGATTAGATCGATTAGATCGATTAGATCGATCGATCGATTAGATCGATGGATCGATCAGATCGATTAGATCGATTAGATCGATTAGATCGATTAGATCGATTAGATCGATTAGATCGATTAGATCGATTAGATCGACTAGATCGATTAGATCGATTAGATCGATTAGATCGATTAGATCGATTAGATCGATTAGATCGATTAGATCGATTAGATCGATTAGATCGATTAGATCGATTAGATCGATTAGATCGATTAGATCGATTAGATCGATTAGATCGATTAGATCGATTAGATCGATTAGATCGATTAGATCGACTAGATCGATTAGATCGACTAGATCGATTAGATCGACTAGATCGATTAGATCGATTAGATCGATCAGATCGATCAGATCGATCAGATCGATTAGATCGATTAGATCGATTAGATCGATTAGATCGATTAGATCGATTAGATCGATTAGATCGATTAGATCGATTAGATCGATTAGATCGATTAGATCGATTAGATCGATTAGATCGATTAGATCGATTAGATCGATTAGATAGATTAGATCGATAAGATCGATAAGATCGATAAGATCGATAAGATCGATAAGATAGATAAGATACATAAGATAGATAAGATAGATAGGATAGATAGGAAGATAGATAGGTAGATAGATAGATAGATAGGTAGGTAGGTAGGTAGATAGATTAGGTAGGTAGGTAGATAGATTAGGTAGGTAGGTAGGTAGGTAGGTAGGTAGGTAGGTACGTAGGTAGGTAGATAGATAGATTGATAGATAGATAGATAGATGGAAAGATGGATGGATGGATGGATGGATAGATAGATAGACAGACAGATAGATAGATAGATAGACACGTATATATGCGCATGTGATTTCTCATGTCCAGAGTGGTGCAACTGCCTATGGATCGTGTTTTAGCATACTAAGCTTGAGTGGCTTGAAGTGGCACTTCGGATCTGCCCAAATCCTGGGACTGCCCACAGCTCTTCAATTTCCTGTGCCATCTTCAGAAGCCCCATCACACTGGCCTGACGCCGGCGGGGTCTTCCAAGGTCTCCAAAGATGACTCGAAATTGCTGTTTTTGCCCACCATGGCTACCACAAGATTTTGGCCGGGAATGTTACGAATACCCAAAGTCACACATTGATCTCTGGTGCATCGAGGCACCTTCGCCTCGTCTGTCACTTCAGACTGTGCCTGCCTAGGCCCGGCTGGTGGGTGGTTGAAGCACACACTCCCACAATTGAAACTGGGGGAATCATCACAAGCAAAGATGTTTTGGTTGAAGCAATGGGTTCCCTTAACCAATGATATCTCAAAAATTAGGTGAAACACCGTGTGCCCAATCCCCAAGGTATGGGCGCAACACTTAACTCAGAACTTCGTTCTGAATCTGGCCATGGAAAGTCCATACTTGTTCTGAAATAGGCCGAACGTGGTCGAAGCTGTCCCCAAATACCATATAATTTGGACGTGTTCACGTACCTCGTTCCCTTGCAATGGGCAACCTCCACCAGAAGTTTCTTCTTTGCGCACCCCTGGGTGCAAGAGATAAGGTGCCGACATGGGACTCAATGCCTCGGAGGTGGGGGGGCCCCCTTCCCTGGGGCAAAGGACCATGGGATAGATCCGTTCAGAGCTGAGGGAATTGATCACTTACGTTGCAAACATATGTATTTGCATCATATATCATATGTCATTGTCTATACATACCTTGTTCTTAATCCATTCGGGAACCGCTGTGGACCAGACTCCAACCCTTCTTGTTACCCAGCAAACTAGCCCCACTGCAACAAACACCGCAATCTTGCTACTGCAGCCTGGCACTGCAAAAGTATCTGACCATGCTTTTTGGGACAAAGCAAACTGCAAAGCCCAAACACTGAGGTCTGTGCCCCGAAGATCGCCATGCGACCTTTTCGATTGGGTCTTGCTGGAAGCTTCCCCTGGCCAAGATCAACACCGCGCCCAAGGGCGGTAACACCGTGGAAAATTCGGAAAGTCACCAATCACATCCAATCACGGCACTTGGAGAACCCAAAGCATATATATAGTATAGGAGGTGAATGCACATTTAAAGTGCAAAAGAAGAAAGAAGGTCTTCCGCCAAAGGACTGAATCCAGCTTAATCCAGCCTTTTTCATCCTTTCTCTCTCCTGCCTACGACCGGCATCAAACAGCAAGAAATGAACACAGCAAAACAAACCGAGTCCTAAACTACAGTAGCACACAAAACTGTTCGGTTTCACTGTTTCACCCACCCCAACTTCAGTGATGCTCTGTCAACCCCAAGTAGAACCCAAAAAATATCACCCCCAACTGGTTTCACCACTTCAACGAAGTTACATTGTTACAAGAACTTCCAGTGCCCATCACTTTCTCATGGTTTCATGGTTTCCCCCTTTCTTTTCACTGCATCAACCCACCACAATCTCTCAAATCTCGCCTGCTCATGGGTGGCGCGTTGGGATCTCGTCCTCGGCCCTGCACTGAGCCACGTCGACCCCCAGGGCTGGCACCACCGCTAGCGCGGCCCGGCCGCGCGAAAGCGAAGCGGCGAGGACTGCCCGGAGCAGAGCCTTCCTCCGGCGCGTCCTGCTAGTAGCAATATGAGTTTCATTCATTTTAATTATAGTCATGTATGTAATGTAATGGGATGGAATGGGATGGAATGGAATGTGATGTAAAGAAAAGGAAACTCAAGTAAATGTCAGCGTACTTCAAACGCAAATGTAAATGTAAATGCCACTAAAGGTAAGGAAATGCAATGCATGCATGCATGTTTGCGATCTTGTATAGTAAAGCCGCATATAGCCGCATAGCCTACAAAGCAGTTCAGGGGCTACAGACTGAGCAGAGAACAGTGGCCACAGAGTAGGCTAAGAATGTTGCCCTCAAATGCGAAAAATAGACGGGACGAACAAGAAATAAAACAAGCTGGCAAGCAACTTGCGCCAACAACTTGCCGGAATCCTGCCTCTGAAGGCCCACCACGTCTTTGCCTTCCATTGGAAAAGGTTTCTACCCTCCGGTAGTGGCAATGCAGATACCCCGTTCTTGAGGGGAAACTTATTTTTAAATTGCCAGCAGTACCGCACACAAGGCGGCGGCGGAAGTTTCAAAAATAGTAAACCTCTAGGAGAGGTTAGTTGTTGTGAGTCACGGATGGCAGAGCGAATCCACTGATGGACCGAGAGCTGTGTTTCCTGGAGTGGCTACAATGATTGCAGTGGTCACCGCACCACAACTGCTGGATGTAGTGTGGTGTAGTGCAGTTGTAGTTGTAGGTGGGTAGTTGTAGTTGTAGTGTAGTGGAGTTGTAGTTTTAAGTTGTAGTTGTAAAGTAGTGTAGTTAGTGTAGTGTAGTTGCAGTTGCAGTTGTAGTTGTGGTGTGGTGTAATTAGTGTAGTGTATTGTAGTGTACTGTAGTGTTGTGTACTGTAGCGTGGTATAGCGTAGTGGAGTCTTGTGTATTGTAGTGTAAAGTAGTGTAATTAGTTGTAGTTGTAATGTAGTGTCGTGCAGCGCAATGTAGTGGTAGTTGCAGTTGTAGCGTAATGTAATGTAATTAGTGTAGTGTAGTATAATGTAATGTAGTTGTAGTTGTCGTCGTCTTTGTAGCTGTGATGTACTGCAGTGCTGGTGCTGGTGCTGGTGCTGGTGCTGGTGCTGGTGCTGGTGCTGGTGCTGGTGCTGGTGCTGGTGCTGGTGCTGGTGCTGGTGCTGGGCTGGTGCTGGCGGTGGCGGTGGCGGTGGCGGCGGCGGCGTGGCGGCGGTGGCGGCGGTGGCGGTGGCGGTGGCGGTGGCGGTGGCGGTGGTCGTGTCGTAGTCGTAGTCGTAGTCGTAGTCGTAGCAGTGGTCGTGAGTAGTAGTAGTAGCCGTAGTAGCCGTAGTAGCCGTAGTAGCCGTAGTAGCCGTAGTAGCCGTAGTAGCCGTAGTAGCCGTAGTAGCCGTAGTAGCCGTACTAGCCGTACTAGCCGTACTAGCCGTACTAGCCGTACTAGCCGTACTAGCCGTACTAGCCGTACTAGCCGTACTAGCCGTACTAGCCGTACTAGCCGTACTAGCCGTACTAGCCGTACTAGCCGTACTAGCCGTACTAGCCGTACTAGCCGTAGTAGCCGTACTAGCCGTAGTAGCCGTAGTAGCCGTAGTAGCCGTAGTAGCCGTAGTAGCCGTAGTAGCCGCAGTAGCCGTAGTAGCCGTAGTAGCCGTAGTAGCCGTAGTAGCCGTAGTAGCCGTAGTATAGCCGTAGTAGTCGTAGTAGCCGTAGTAGTCGTAGTAGTCGTAGTAGTCGTAGTAGTCGTAGTTGTCGTAGTTGTCGTAGTTGTCGTAGTTGTCGTAGTTGTCTTAGTTGTCGTAGTTGTCGTAGTTGTCGTGGTTGTCGTAGTTGTCGTAGTTGTCGTAGTTGTCGTAGTTGTCGTGGTTGTCGTAGTTGTCGTAGTTGTCGTAGTTGTCGTAGTTGTCGTTGTTGTTGTTGTTGTTGCTGTTGTTGTTGCTGTTGTTGTAGTTGCTGTTGTAGTAGTTGCCGTTGTAGCAGTTGCTGTTGTAGTAGTTGTAGTGTAATTTGTGTAGTGTAGCGTAATCAGATGTAATCAGTGTAGCGTGGTGTAATTAGTGCTGTGTGATTCATGTAGCGTAGTATATTTGTACTTGTAGTTGTAGTAGTAGTGTAGTGTAGTGGTACTTGTAGCTGTAGTTGAGTTGTAGTTGTCTCTCTTTTTATCTGTCTATCTGCAAGCTTGAAAACGAAGCTACTCTGCGAGACTTCCTCAGTTTTTGAACTTGACAACATCAAAAATGCAGCAATTCTGCGAGACTTCCTCATTTTTTGAAGTTGACAACATCAAAAACGAAGCAATTCTGCGAGACGTCCTTCAAAAATGGAAAGTTGAGTGCAGAGCTGACGGCCTCGTACCAATGCGTTTTGCGATTTTTCCACTCCACCTGTCTAAAGTACTGCGCCTGCCACCAAAAAGTGATGCCAGGTCATACGAAGCACTGCACCTGTCACGCAAAATCATCTCAGCAAACCTGAAGATCTGATGCTCCAAAATGCAGCCTCTCTCAGGAAATCGCCCGGATCTCCTAACAACTCTGATGAACATGTCTCTTTTGCTGCGCCTGCCACGGAAAGTGCATCTTTGCAGATCCTCTTCAAATGTCCCACGCCTGCCATCGTTTTTGGAATGCTACAAAACATACAAAACTCTCACGTTTTGCTCACTTTTGACAAGGTGCAAAATCCCGTGCGCCTGCCACGCGAAACGACATCTGAACGTCCAAAAGTGGTCCGAGCATGTGGTGTTTTTAACCTTTTGACTTCGAAATGTGCTTCACGCCACAACGGCGTGCACTTTTTCGACATCTCAAGTTCCAAAAGTGCTCTGAACCCGTGATTTTTTTGCCTTTTGACTTCGAAATGTGCTTCGCGCCACAACGGCGTGCACTTTTTCATCATCTCAACTTCTAAAAGTGCTCCAAAGCTCAAGTGCCTTGTACATTTTGACTTGCAAGTGTGCTTCGCGCCACAACGGCGTGCACTTTTTCGACATCACAACTTCCAAGAGCGTTCCGGACCTGAGGTGCTTTGTACATTTTGACTTGGAAATGTGCTTCGCGCCACAACAGCGTGCAATTTTTCATCTCTCATCTGGCCAGCTGGCTCCGCACCGCCGCTTTAGCGAGCCTACTTTTCGACCCTCCGGAGCCACAAATCCTTGGAAAAACACATTGTTTCGCGACTTTCCTACCTTTTCGCACACTTGGGTCTTCTCTCTTCTGAGACTTTCTCTTTTTTGATCTTCTTACTTCTTCTCTTCTCTTTTTGATCTTCTTTCTTCTTCTCTTCTCTTCTCTTCTCTTCTCTGACTCTTCCCATCTCTGCTTTTCATCTGTCCATATTGTCGGAAGTTTGACTTCTAAACTTCCTTCAATCATAAATTAGGATTGCCAAAGGGCATAGACTAGGCTGTAACAGGCTCCGCCACTGCGCCGACTCTTCGCAGCCAAGGCGCGCTGCTTCTTCTTCAGCCGCCTCCTGCAATAGTCCCATGACGTCAAATGAGGGTTTTATAGCCGCGAAAATACTCTGCGGGAAGATCCAGGCCCTCTACTACCTTAACGGTGGTGAAAATCCTCCGTTATCTTTTTGTCAGGAATTCCTTGATCTGGACCTTTGTTGCTGAATCTTCCATATGCTCGCCCAAGAGTACGGAAAGGCCAAAATCCCCACCAAAAAGTTATGGGAAAAGGCAATATCCCCTTCAAACACAGATCCGCCTGAGCAGTGGTCAAAACCTTCTGTCATCCCTCCTTTGTACTGGTTGGTTGAAAAGGGGATTCTGATAGTGGCCGAAGTAGGTCAATAACCTTCGGTAATAGCCAATCAACCATAGATTATCAGTTACATCAATTACATCAATTGTCATTGTTAAAATCCCAGTCAATGATGGATCAAGACCTATTGTACCGTATTTTGGGGAATGAACATCCATAGACAGTGGGCATGGCCATTGGCATCGTTGGTCAACGGGCCACAGACGCGCGATTTTCGGGTCTCTGGCATAAATGGGTTCAAATCGTCGCTGCTTTCTAAATGCGATATTAGATACAAAATCTCCATGGCGATGATATAAATCCCTATAAATATTGGGTTACATCAAGTTGCATCCCTATAAATGCTGATTGAATCCCTATATAAATCCATATAAACATCCATATAAATCCATATAAATGCCTCTAAACCTTTAAAAAAGCCTTATGAATCCCTAAAAATAGCCATATCAACGGATGAAAAACCCAACGCCGTGCAGTCCTTCTCCGCCTTCTCCGCCGCCAGCTGGGCCTCTTCAGTCGCTTTCGCCTCATCGAAAAGACCTTTGGCCGAGTCACTGAGAGGCTAGCATGGGAATTTACACTGTACAAAGCTGTATGCTATGCAAACAAAGACACATATGCACATATAATCTATCAATTGATCTATCTATCTATCTTATCTTATCTTATCTTATCTAATCTATCCATCTATCTATCTCTGTGTGTGTGTTTGTTTATTTATGTATTTATTCATTTTTTTTTGGCTGCCCTACCCTGCTACGACGACATGTCAAAAGCGGAAGCAAGGCGTAGGCAGAGCCAAGCGTGCCTGCTTTCTTAAAAGTATCTGGCATTGGCTGCATTAAATATACGTGCATCCTCTTGAACGGTCTCTTCAAAGTTAAACTGATGCAGTTTTTCTTTGTATATTTTTTTTGGTGTAGTGCAACCAGTTTTGCCTTGGTCTACCGTGCCTCTTTTTTCCATATGGGATGCGGTTCACTGAATTTGGTTGAAAGGAGATTTGACGTAAAGGGTCTTGTTGAGTGGTTCTGGCAATATGTCCCAATAATTTGGCTCGCCTTTCATTATAACAATGGCTGAATAAAAGGTTGTTTTCATGATTTCCATGAGTGGACATGAGATCGGATGATCTTCGCAAAACATATCTGTTTGTGAACCGCCTGTCAATAAAAGTAGAAGGGAGGTTGAGGATTTTCCTCAAGCCATCGATTTTGTTCAACATGGCTTTTGTAAGATGAACCGTTGCCAAACCATATAACAACTTGGCTCGGATCACTGCATCGAAAATTCTATTTATTCATTTATTTATTGAATTATCTATTCATTTATTTATGTACTTATTTATGTATTTATGTATCTATTTATGTATGTGTTTGTTTATCTAATTGTTGCACATTTGTAAATATTGATTTACATATTACACGCATGTATATTACATGTGTGGATATGCAAGTGTGTACATATATGTGTATATATATATATATGTATATATATTTATTTATATTTATTTATTCATTTGTTTATTTATTTATTGTATATATACTATGTATCTATATGTATATATTATATTATATATTATATATACATATATGCATGGTTGTACGGTTCTTTCTCTTCATTATGCTTATCTGCTGGTCTAAATGAAAGTATCTGTTCTATATAATGCACGCGCGCGTGTGTGTGTGTGTGTGTGTGTCTGTGAGGAAAAAAAGGAGGGCATGTATGTAAACATGCATGGGTATAGGTAGGTAGCTAGGTAGCTAGAGAGGTAGAGAGCTAGAGAGCTGGAGAGCTGGAGAGCTAGAGAGGTAGAGAGGTACGTGCATACCTGTGTATATGTACTACATGTGAAGGTGAAGGTGTGTAGGGGTGTAGGGGTGTATGATGTACGCATGTACGATGGTATGCATCTATGCATGCATCTATGCATACATCTATGCATGCATGGTTGCATAACATGCATGGTATGTATGCTTTGCATGTTCTGCATCCTACGCATGCTATGCATGTTGTGCATGTTATGCACCAAGTTGTTGATGGGCTTGCGTGCTCGTTTCTTAATCTAGTATGTTGTCTCGTCCATTTTTGTTGACCTCTTCAATTGACTGGATTCACTAATTTGCTCAGTCGTCAGATTCTCTTGCCGCTTGTTGTTGGTTGATACAGGTCTCCTGGTTTGGTGTGTCCCTTGGTCATGTCAGCGTTGTCCCAGACGCCCCCGAAAAGAAAACAAGTAAATAAGTACATGGATTATTTGGTCGATGAGGGTCATTTCAACCACGTTCAGACCCTTGTCGGTCCACCAACCACACTCAAGTCACCACCAGTCTCAAAATCTAAGACCCAAGTAACCCTTAAAGTTTGGCCATCTTCAAGAAATGTACCATTATTTACCATGAGTTTAACATAATTTACCATTGTTTACCACTAAAATTCTGGTGGAGCCAATTTTCTGCCCATCCCCAACTTCCAAAAACTCCTGGGTCTTGAGGCCTAACTCCTCGAAGTCCGCCTCAGGTCTCATTCCGCGCAGGCGCTTGGACAGGGAAGCCTTGGCTCGCTGAGTTTGGACATGGAAATGTTGGAGAAATCTACGGAAATGGAAGTTTATGATATGTTCCCATATGTTCCCTACATCTCATGTCCAGTTCCTAATGAAGTATGAATTTCTATGATCTTTTATTTTATGATTTTTTATGGATTTCCCGACATTTTCAACATGATGTTGAATTTTCACTGGATTTCATGTCCATTTCCTAATGATGTTTTTCAAATGATATTGGCATGGATTTTTGACCTGGAAAAGTAATTGCTGTTATATTGGTTGTGCTATTCCCGTGAAGTTAACCATCTTGTAATATCCAACATGAGACTCGCCATTCTTGGACACTCCCGTGTGACTGCTGTCCGACGTTCAGAAGCTCTGCGACATGCATCACCCGACGGCCAAGACACCCGTTTGGCTTCAAGGAGTCGACATGCCTCGAATGAGTCGAGTAATCAGCAGAAACAGCACGGCAGCAGCACGGAGGGCCTGCGTCAAAGCTGCCAAGTACGGTTTGGACCTTGCGCCGATTTGCCACAGCCAGTTTGGATGTCACAATTACGCTTGTTAAGGAGGACCTCTAGTAAACAAAACCCGGCAATGGAAAATCCTGCAATTTAATCCTATGCAGAGATGAGTTTCCAACCAACAGATGCTTGCCATTGCCATTGCTTCCAGAATGGCTGAGGAACAGACTCAGCTACACTCTTCATCTGCATGGGATCGGGCACCTGCCGTCTGTGGTCATCCAGTTGTTGTGTACAGGGCATGTCACCCCCGCCTCATCACTCAAGATGGGGTTGCCGTCCTCATCAAAGAGATACTTTGTTTGGGGACATGTCGACCTGGGCGACAGGGGTACAGCAGTCATCGAGTCTGGCACATCGATTTCGAGCATGTGATCATCGCCCAGTTGAAACCACCAACCAGTGGTAGCACCTTTGTGGGTACCACAAGGTTATATGATGTTATATCCCCAATGTTGGACTGTATATTATGTGCTATTTCCCCGCATTCTAGAGTTGCAATAGAAGTTGTTTTGTGGCAAACCACCCAATCTGCTACAACCTTTTGCTGCTTGCATACAGCAAAATTCTTCACCACTTCCTTAGAATCATAGTCCTACTCCGGCTGGGCTTGTCCAAGAATGGGGCACATTTTTGTACAAACCCAAATGTCAAAACAAACTTATGGAGCCTACGCAAAAGAAGCGGTGGAGTCTGTGAAACCAGTGCCAAATTAGAGACGGGCATGTTTGTGTTGCTTTTCATCGTGTTCCTATCACAGTGACTGGCTTAACTTCATAGCCCACTAATCGCCGTTCCCATTAAACCCCATCAAATCCCATTAAAACACCATTAAATCCCACCAAATCCCATTAAACCACCATTAAACCCCATCAAATCCCAGTCCCATTCTGTTGCACTGTTGGGCTGTCGCGGCTGTCCCTCTTGAGAAGCCCATCTCAACGTCGAGCCGCGACCATTGCAGCACCACCTTGGGATCTTCGGTCGCCGGGGCTTCGATTTCACCGGTCTTCGCTGCTTTGACCTCCGCAGAGTCGGTCCGAAAAGTCAGGCACCTTGCGCCAATCATCATTATGACGAGTAGTATTGCTTTGATGATGATGATGATGATGATTATTATTATTATTATCATGATTCTTATTATTATTGTGATCTGTTAAACTAGATTAACTAGATCATACGCAACAATCCGCAACAAGTTTTTTGAATTCTGGTGCTCTCTTTCTCTCTCCATCGCGCTCTCTAGCACTGAAGCATCCATCTTTTGGGTGGTTTTGACATAGCCAGTTGATTTTTTTCCAGGTTCTGCTTCTAACAACCTCCCCAATACCATAATCCCCTGTAAATGAAGGCTCAGAATGAATGGATCCAATGCTACTCTGACATTAAACCAAGGGTGTTCGGGGGAGTTATTGATGTCGTCCTGCGGCGATGCAAAATCCCAATCAATTTATTTGGATTTGGTACTAATGAGTACGCAGCATAGGTATCCCCAAAATATAGAAATAAGCTAGCGATGCTTCCCTGCTGCTGTAAGGATACGGATGAAAATTATCCAAAAACTCAGATGGTTCAATTGACTGACTGTCCAAAAATATGCGATCTTCCTTGGACTTAATTTGACCCATTGCCCATCTATTGCTCGTCAACTCACGGGTTTCTGTTCCAAAATCCAGATTTCTGCCGGTAAAGTCCCTGCATTTATGGTTGATAAATACGCCGCATAGCCCATCACCACAGGCACCGGGAGCGCCTTCTTAAAGCTCTTCTGACTGACCAGCGTTTGCCTGATGGTGCTCCGAACAGCTTTTGGCTTCAGTTCCTGCCATGGGGCCAGCACTGAGATCATAATCGTACGAATAGGTGGAACACAACTAATAGGTCTTTGAAACCACCAACCAGCTGGCGACCTACTTCAACTATCTATCTTCAACTAGGTGCATGGAACTTGGTGAAACTCTAAGTCTGATTCACGAAAATGAGATGAAACAAGATGAAACAACATGATCAGCAAAAATCGCTGTTCAACACCAAACCACACATGTTCTGAGAAGCGCGGGGCAGCGCCACCAGTTCCAACTTGTCCCTCTCTTCGGTCAAGAACTGAAACTCGCTCTTAATCTTCTCCAGCCGTTCTTGCCTTAATTCATATGACTTAGATGCACACTTTCTGCCGCAATAATCTTGACTTCTTGTGTCATGATAGCAGTGAGAATGCGCAGGAAATCGGAAGCTATAGAATTATGCCGGGAGATCAACAACCCTCAACAGCAAGCAAGGAAGAAGCGGCAACAGCAACTAAACACCAGAACGGGCCAATTCTAGCTCTAGCTGAAGGCTGAAAGAACCTAAAATTGCATGCAGGGAGTGGCAGTGTCACCCGGGCCCTCCTCTGCACACAAGGCAAGATAGAATTTACAAGATGTGATTCGACTATTATACGATCAAGTGGTTTCCCAATGAAATGCTTGGACATGCTTGGGCTTCTGGCGAACAAACATCGCGACATGGCGATGTAACATCCCCTTTTTTGAACGCGACTATAGCTGCAGCCAAGGCACAAGACCTCAACTTTGGAGGCAGCGAGGTTGTCGGGCTTCACTCCAGCTGACCTATGGGCGAGCTCAGAATCCCTCCATGACTGACCTGACCCATCGGTCACCAGTGACCCAGTGGCCCATCAGCCACAAAGGTCTTTCGTGGTTGTCCAGCTGTTTTCCCAGCATTTCTGAGCTCTTCACTCCATTTTCTCAAAGAGGACTTCATCCTCAAGAAAACTCCCAAGGCAATTTCCCCAAGAACGTCTGCACAACATGTGGAAATGCCTACCACGCCCCAGAGTTGCCGCTATACCCCAAAGACCACCTCATTCTGGGAGCTTGGTGAAACGAAAGAAACCTAAAGGGTTAGGCCCGCCTTCCTGCTCTCTTCGCTCATCTTTGGTGGGTCATTCAATTTAGTCAAGTCCAATGAAGCGGATAGATTGTCTTGGGATAATCTACTCAGTCTTGGGGCTGTCTTGAGGCCGTGGCTGCATCTGGTAGCTGGTTTCAAGATGATGATGATCCCCAGTAAGGATTGAAGCTTGTAACACCGTTGGTCGATTCAACACCCATAAACTGATCCACCACGTCCTGCCGCATCAGATGAGCCCATATCTTCTGTTGGATATTCCACTTCTTTCCAATGCAGTCTGCATATCCCTAGCTGGGTTTATCGACCAGTTCAATTACCCCCAAAGCAGAAAAACACATGGTTGGAAAGCTGGAAAGTGGGTGACATCTGCACCATCCTGGTTCTTGCTCCATCTTTCTGGGGGATGCCCAAAACAAGACCATCGTCCATGGATCATCCCCCTCATGCCTTGGCCAAAAGGAACTCGCTCTGCAAGCTCTTCAGTGAGGCATGCAGTCGTTCCACGGTTTCCGCCATACCTGGGGCCTTGCTTACCAACCTGGGCAACGAAAATGGGGGGGATCGACCACCAAAGTGGGGGTTGAAGCAGAAGTTGGGGGTTCACCTGCAAATTTGGGTAGATTCACCAACACTACATGCAGGGACTGGAGGTTTGACAAACAAAAAAACAATAAACCGACAAAATGACGGTTGAATGGACAAACCGGTGGGTTAACCAACGAACATGCTAAATATTTGGAACTAAATCTGACAGGCTGGAGAATCATCACGCTAGGAGATTTTGATAGGAAAAGAAAATCCACAAATCAGGACTTTTCCATTGCTGGGGTAGATGGCCAAAGCCTTCGGCAGAACCAATGAAAGTCGCATATCCACCGTCTGACATCTTTCCGATCCAACGTCACCAAGGGCGCTGCTCTTGAATCAAGGGCACAGGGTCTGGACCCTGCACTGCGGCTGCTGAAAAGGGGGCATGGAGCGATTAACGATGGTGATTTTAATGCGGCAAAGCCAAAATGACCCACAATTTTCCAAGGTGGGCCTTTTCAAGGCTTGTCATTCCTTCCCCCTGGTATTCGATAGCTTCAGGTGGACCTCCAAATTGCCAAAAACACATCCGCACCTCATTGGCCTCTTCGGCAGGAGCCTGTCACAAATTTGCCAGGTCTCATGGTGAAAAATCGAGGCCTCCCAAAACACTTGGCAAAAAAACAGTTTTCTTTGGGAGGGATACATGTATTGACAGGTAGATAAATAGATAGACAGACAGATAGATTAGATACTTATTAGGTTAGATTAGATTAGATAAGATTGAGATTAAGATTATATTAGATTAGATAGATCGATTGATAGATAGATCGATGGATAGATAGATAGATTGATAGATAGATAGATAGACAGAAAGATAGATAGATAGACAGATAGGGAAGTATATAGGTAGCTAGGTAGATAGGTAGATAGGTAAGAAGATAGGTAGATAGATAGATAGATAGATCGATAGATCGATAGATCGATAGATCGATCGATAGATGGATGGATGGATGGACGGATAGATAGATGGATAGATAGATAGATGGATAGATAGATAGATAGATAGATTTTTTGGGGGTATATATATATAGGTAAGTGGTATACCAAAAAAAAGCGGGGATGAATGCCTGGTAATGATTTTGGGCCTGTGGCCAACTGATCTTCAACATACTTCACCCTGGCAGAAGCCCCAAGCTTGGCACATTTCCGGACAAGCGCTCCATCATCCGGGCTTTTCTCTCGTTGCGCTTGGTGATTCGGTCCAGCCTGGGGGATGGCCCATGGGATTCCATGGGTCTGTTTCAAGCTGAGTCCTCTCCCCAGAGATACTACCCCTTGACATGGTACTCACCAACTCCCAGAGGGATAGATGTAAAAAGAAAAACTGGCCTCGCAGCATTTTGTACACCCTGAGCCAAGAAACTGGATCTTCTTGGCAGAAATTTGCTTCTCCAAGTCCCGCATGCGCTCTTCGGAAGTGGACCTGGTTTCCGAAGCGGCTGGATCCAGGGATTGCAAAAAAAGATTGCTAAATGATAATGATGGCCTCCGAATCCTTCCACTACCAGCACTACCAACATGTTTGCAGCAGATTCTCTCTAGTCTGTAAATATATATATATATATATATTATGAATATATATATATATGTAGGTAGATAGATAGATAGATAGATAGATCGATAGATAGATAGATCGATAGATCGATAGATAGATCGATAGATCGATAGATCGATAGATCGATAGATCGATAGATGGATAGATGGATAGATGGATGGATGGATAGATGGATAGATGGATGGATAGATAGATAGATAATATTAATCATATTAATCATATTAATCATATTAATCATATTAATCATATTAATCATATTAATCATATTAATCATATTAATCATATTAATCATATTAATCATATTAATCATATTAATCATATTAATCATATTCATATACCTGCATTCTTAGTGACAATAGTAGACACTCAGTTACCAGTCTAAAAATCGTGACTTCCCCTTGCCGCTTGCCGTTTACATGAAACAGCGCTTTCAACGCGGTTGAAACAGCGGTCAGAGGATGTCAGAGGCATCGCTGGGACGCCAGCGAGTTCTTCAGTTCTTTCTCCAATTCTCTCGCCTGGACACGGGGCGCTGGAGACCTGGAGCTAGCTATCACTACCTGACTATCTGCAGAAAAAGAGACGTATACATCTACCACCATCTACCAAGGCCTATGCATACATTATGTGTAGTTTGAAATGTGTATATATATGCATGTATGTATGTATGTATTTATTTACGTAATCAATTTACTTATTTATGTATTTATTTAAGGGTTCATTTATTTATCTATCCCGCTATATGTATGCATACATGCAGAACAGGTGCGTATATGAATATGCATAAGTATACACACATATATCCCAGCTATCAAGGGTTACACTTAGCAGCCAGTTGCTATTCTCCTGAATCCAAGACATAACACTGCACCCATTAACAAAATGAAAGCTAGCTGGGAAGGTAAAGGGAGAAGGAGGAAGGTGTGGTGAAAGAGCGGTGTGCTTCGGTTTTGGGAGCTACGAATTGGAGAGCGAGTCTCATGGTTGATGCTGATGCTATTTGCAACGATATGGCAACGATGCCCCGGGGGGTGATTGAGCCACAGGCCTTGTGTTCAAGCTGCCGGCCTCAAACATGGGGGCTTCACCCCCCAGGAGAAGCCGATAGAAGGTTTGTCCATGGCTTTATCTACCACCAACATCCACTAATAGAGTTGTGCACCATCTTTCATTGGGATCACTTTTTGGAAGTTGAATCCCCATGAAACATGGCGGCGGAATGCGGAGCACTCTTTGCGCCAGGGCTAGGTCCGAACTTCCAAAGTCTATCAGCCATGTCATGGATTGTGTACCCTCTGGTTAGTTAACATAGGTATGTAAAATATTGTAAAATGGTCCACTTATAGATGGTTCATCTACCAAAAATGGTGATGTTCGATATGTTAAAGTACCAGACATGAAGCGGTCTCTTGGACCATCACCAAGCACCCAAATCTGAGAAACGAGCAGTCAATCTGTACTTGTTCCGGGTCCTCAATACAGCTGTGGTTTGTCACATGACCGAAAGATGTGAGATTTCTTTGAAGCCACCAGCAACCCTCGTCGATCCACAGCTGCTCCTCAAAGTCCTTACCACCAGCCTTCTCGGCCAACTTTCTCCCTTCCTGCAAACTGGAGGGCTGAAGGGCTGGAACTCCCTGGAATTCCCTGGAGGTCAAAGAAGGGAAACCTTTTGTCACCATTACAACATCCCATGTGCCACCATTACATGCAAATGGGACTTACATATCCTCACCATTGATTCATAATATTTTTTTCCCATTCGCTCACCACTCACTCACCAGTCACTCACCATTGTCAGCTGACGAGCCTCAGTGTTCAGCACCTTCTCACAAGCCACCTTGCGCGCATCTGTGCGCACCTGAAGATGGATGCACCACAAGATTTATGGTGGCTGAAAAATGCCGACAAATTGCATGTCTTCAGGGGCAAATGAGGTGCTTGTGTCTTTTCACTCATACACCATAGGATTTTGGTGAGGGTGACAATCAACAGTGGGGATTGCGATATGCTGCGGTACAAAATGGTGACTGGTGAAAGTACACGTTGTATATATATATATACAGTACAACTTCACCCAAAACAGGTCCAGAATTCCGCTCCGGCAGCCCCACCCGAGCGAGCAGCTCCACTTCTGCAGCAGAGAGGCCTAAGGGCAAGAGCCAAATGGAATTGGGATACTTCTATCGCTGCACCCAAACTCTTGGTATGTGTCTTCACTTGGATAAATCCAAAATATCCAAAATCTGTCCAGGCATGTCCGACCTTGTGTGTCACCATCAAGGCCACCCTGCCTGAACCTCCGCGTTTTCCAGCTTCCTGAAAGCGCACGGGAAAACAAGGACATCAACCGAGGATCTCTGGAAACTCTGCGGCACCTCTGCGTCATCCGCGCCAGTTTCAACCTTTGCAGCGAGGCCAGCAGTCAAGATCACTGTTTTTGTTTAAATCACTGAGTTGGAAACGAGCTTCAGGAGATTCATGAACTGCCTTGTTTTGCCGCCGGATGCGGGTGAGAATCACGGACCATGTTCAGCGGTGCGTCGGTGCGTCACCCGGCCACCAGCTGAGGGCCTTGCTGTTTTTTTTCACTCTCCATGCCCATCTTGCTTTTCCGATATGCTGTCCTTGGAACACTCGGGGGGAATCCAGCCACTTCAAAGCAGAACATTCTGAGGAGACGTCTCATCTTGCTGGATAGAAATCGCCTTGCTCCGCTCCGGACATTGCTTGTGCTGGCTTAAAGTTGACAAAATCAAAACTGGTGACCCACCATCTACAATAACTCAGGAGCATTGCTGAGGGAACACAAGTACATCTCTTGGGGAGAGCCAGAGTGGATCTCTTTCAACCCCCTTCAGAACCACATTGATCGTGAAGTAGGTAGAAAATGGCTTATGTTCATTTTCAATGCTGTGGTTTGCAAAAACAATGAACATAGATAGATTAGTGCCCAAAAACATGCATAAAAAGTGATAGAAAATATGAATTGTTTATTCGCCCAAAACAGCTACACTGAATATATCAGTTTAACCTTCCACGCCCTCTTAGATTCAATTCTTATCTATTTCAGGATCACTGCGGTTCTGCGCAAAGGTGTGTGTAGAGAGTGTGTAGACGTGTAGAGAGTGTGTAGGGTGTGTGTGTGTGTGTTAGATCTCTGCGTAAAATCTATACATACATACATATATATATATATATATACACATATGGTTTTGTCTGAAGATGGGGTAAACCCAAATCGTGTTTTTTTATCATCATTTTCCTACTTTAAAAAAACTTTGGTGGTATCCCCAACAGCCGCAACGTTTTATTTTTACCAATCTTTCTGAAGCGTGCTGCGAAGCCAAGCGCTGGAAACACCTCAGCTGGGTTTACGTGAATGAAATGGCCGCAAATCCTGTCAAACCTGACCTGGCTCTGCACCAAAGCCTCCCAGACCTTCTCCGGAACCCTCTTCGGAACCCTGTTACGAACCTGACCTGACTCTGCACCAAAGCCTCCCGGAACCTTCTCCGGAAACTTCTTCGGAACCCTGTTGAACCTGACCTGGCTTTGCACCAAAGCCTCCCAAACCATCTCCAGACCCTTCTCCGGAGCTCTGTTGAACCTGACCTGGCTCTGCACCAAAGCCTCCCGGAACCTGCTCCGGAACCTTTTCCGGAACCCTGTTGAACTTGACCTGGCTCTGCACCGAACAAAGCCTCCCAAACCTTCTCCGAACCTTCTCCGGAATCTTCTCCGGAACCCTGTTGAACCTGACTTGGCTTTGCACCAAGGCTTCCGGTCTCTGGAACCTTCTCCGGAACCCTGTTGAACGTGACCTGGCTCTGCACCAAAGCCTCCCAGACCTTCTCCGGAACCTTCGGAACGTTCTCCGGAACGTTGAACCTGACCTGGCCTCTGCACCAAGGCTTCCGGTCTCTGGAACCTTCTCCGGAACCCTGTTGAACGTGACCTGGCTCTGCACCAAAGCCTCCCAACCTTCTCCGAACCTTCTCCGGAATCTTCTCCGGAACCCTGTTGAACCTGACTTGGCTTTGCACCAAGGCTTCCGGTCTCTGGAACCTTCTCCGGAACCCTGTTGAACGTGACCTGGCTCTGCACCAAAGCCTCCCAGACCTTCTCCGGAACCTTCGGAACGTTCTCCGGAACTTCGTTGAACCTGACCTGGCCTCTGCACCAGTGCACAGCGGAGCTATTCTGGGCTGAAGACCCCGTTAGCTTACGCTGTTGGGGGAAAAGTATTGGAGCAGATAGAACATGGACATCTCTTAAAATTATCACCCAAATGGGAATATTATTGAAAATACCACTATACTTCGTGTTATCAATACTACAGTTGTCACTATTATCACTACTATTATTATTACTATAATTATTATCAGAATGATTCTGTGCATCTATACATGCATATATGTGCATATGTATGCATATGTATGCATATGTATAATCTTGATAATCTTGATAATCATGATGCTCATGATTAATCGTTATCAATATTTCCATGATCATCAAATCCTACTAAAATATAGTGAAGATGTTTTCTGTCTTTTTGGGGGGTTACTACAGATAATGTGGTTAACCCAATGATAAATCATCCCAAGCGCCTCCAAAATCTTGGCCGCCACTGCACCAGCATTCATGGGCGGCGGAGCCGCATCCACCGCTTGAACTGCGCCATCCAGTAGTTGAAAGGTGGAAATGGCCAACAAAAACGGGCTTGTAACTGGCAAAATGAGTCTTGACCTAGCCCAAAAGATAATGGTTAACTAGCAAAAAGGAATCAGCAACTAGCAGCAAGCAAAAAATAGTCTTTAACTGGTAAAAATTGTCTTTCACTACACAAAAATAATGTTTTTTTAAGAAAAGAAGTGCGCTCAGTAGTACCCAAACAGTTGAAAAGCACTCCATGTTTCATTGGGCAAGAAAGAAATTCGACTCGTTAGTCAGCACACCAAAGAATCGCATCTGAAGGGTATTTCAGGGTTTGTAACACAAAACTTAAAGTGACACCATTCAAATAACTTGGGAAAGCAATTCAGAAGATGGATATGGAGGTTTCCTAAAATGTGGCTACCCCCAAATCATCTATCTTAAAACCATCCATTTTGGGGTACCTCCATTTACGGAAACCCCCATATATCAAGTTGAAAAAGCCAGGCCCCTGGCAGGTTACTGGCCAGGGAACCAAGTGATCCTGGAAAGAAGACAAACCAGACCTGGACACCGCCACTCAAAAAACTGAAGGTCCAAACACCACCTGTTACCTTGGGAGAAAAAAATGTGGCTACATATATATATACATATATAAATAAAAAAAAATATATACATACATACATACATACATTACATTACATTACATTACATTACATTACATTACATTACATTACATTACATACATACATACATAGATACATAGATAGATAGATAGATAGATACATACATACATAGATACATACATCCATTACATGCATTACATACATACATACATACATTACATTACATTACATTACATTACATTACATTACATTACATTACATTACATTACATACATTACATACATTACATACATTACATACATTACATACATTACATACATTACATACATTACATACATTACATTTACATTTATTACATACATTACATACATTACATACATTACATACATTACATACATTACATACATTACATACATTACATACATTACATACATTACCTACATTACCTACATTACCTACATTACCTACATTACCTACATTACCTACATTACCTACATTACCTACATTACCTACATTACATACATTACATACATTACATACATTACATACATTACATACATTACATACATTACATACATTACATACATTACATACATTACATACATTACATACATTACATACATTACATACATTACATACATTACATACATTACAAACATTACAAACATTACATACATTACATACATTACATACATTACATACATTACATACATTACATACATTACATACATTACATACATTACATACATAACATACATAACATACATAACATACATAACATACATAACATACATAACATACATAACATACATAACATACATAACATACAGAACATACAGAACATACAGAACATACAGAACATACAGAACATACAGAACATACAGAACATACAGAACATACAGAACATACAGAACATACAGAACATACAGAACATACATAACATACATAACATACATAACATACATAACATACATAACATACATAACATAACAGACCATAACATAACAGACCATAACATAACAGACCATAACATAACATACCATAACATAACATACCATAACATAACATACCATAACATAACATACCATAACTTAACATACCATAACATAACATACCATAACATAACATACCATAACATAACATACCATAACATAACATACCATTAGATACCATAACATAACATACCATAACATAACATACATAACATACATAACATACATAACATACATAACATACATAACATACATAACATACATAACATACATAACATAACATACCATACCATAACATACATAACATACATAACATACATAACATATATAACATCCACAACATCCATAACATGCATAACATAACATAACATACCATAACATAACATACCATACCATAACATAACATACCATAACATAACAGACCATAACATAACAGACCATAACATAACATACCATAACATAACATACCATAACATAACATACCATAACATAACATACCATAACATAACATACCATAACATAACAGACCATAACATAACATACCATAACATAACATACCATAACATAACATACCATAACATACATACATACACATATACACATATACACATATACACATATACACATATACACATATACACATATACACATATATACATTTACATATGTGTATATATTTACATACATACATACATACATACATACATACATACATACATACATACATTACATACATTACATATATGCATATATGCATGTATACATGTATACATGTATACATGTGTATAGGTATATGTAGCATATGTATATGTAGCATATGTATATGTAGCATATGTTTATGTATATGTAACATATGTATATGTATATCTATATGTATATGTATATGTATATGTATACTTATACGTATATATGCATATGTATATGTATATGTGTATGTATATTTATATGTATATGCATATGCATATGTATATACATTAGTGTGTGCTGAAATATGAGGGCAAGGCAAACAAGCCCTGTAACAGACAAGAAATGAATGGACTGGAAGACAGATGATGGGAGACAAATACGGGGACTGGGAAACACATGCGGGGAAAACAAGTGGAAAAGACAAGCGGGAAACACGTGATCAGAGACAAGTAAAGGGAATGGGAAGCAAATCAAAGAAGACTGTGACAGAGCGGGATACCATCACCGAAGCTGATTGAGATGTGATGAGCGCGAGACAAATGAGAAAAGACTCCTTGAAAACCGGGCGCCACCATCGACACAAGGGCTGGCGCATCCTAAAAGAATAGAGGGCCCAAACAGTACACTGCTCGGGAATGAAAGGGCCTGGCGACAAACGATGGTAAACAAATGATCAAAAAAATCTTGGTGACGGACACCAGCACCAAACCTGGGATGTCCGAGACCTTCAAGGACTGGGAGTTGAATGGTCCAATAAATCCCAACTATAGTTTTTCCCATGATTTTCCCATGATATCCCAAGGCCCTTGGCCCGTGACAGATGGCCGCCTTGTGCGCTCCGGCGCTTTTGCTGTTCCGCCGTGACCTCTGCGGCATGTTCCTCGTCGATATCGCTCCTGCGACGCCGGGATTGCCTGTCGATGGTGGTTTGCCTCGGTCCAAGAATGCTGTCTTAAGGAACGATATAAACAGATTATGAATAAATTATGAACGTAATAAATATTCAAACACAAAACATAGGGGGTTAACAACTGAAAAGGAAGATTTAACGAAAATGCCTGAGTTTTGAGCTACTGACAACTGATCTGGTGTGTCTGGAGCCGAAAATATTCTACAGGTATGTTGATGTGGGTCCGGGTCAAACATGGAGCATCGCCCCCAAAGTTCCGGTCTTTTTTTGTGTGAAATTAAACGGTCCCAATTTGGGAGTCAATCATTTTGACCTAGCTCCACATGTCTACCTGGAAATGACCAAAGCCAGTTTTTGAGATGGTCATTTGGTCAAGCGCATGGTGCAAGTCATCCTCGTGTTTTTTCTCGTGTTTTTTTGGTTCTGAGGGACCGGCAGGCCATCCCAAATGTCATCATGGGCGGATCTGGTGAATCTTGCCTCAGCCATTTCAGCTGCACATCCAACGCTTCACGCGGAGGTTCCTGAGTCGGACACCCGCAGAGACTCCATCGTCTCGGAGCGGTACTGGGCCACCTGACTGGCGGATGCGGCATCCAGTTGGAGCTGGTTCTCCCCACAGGCCAAAAAAACATCCAAAAAAACGTAAAAACACACTTAGTAAAGTTAGTACAACCCTGGTGGTTGCTCCGCAACACCCAACCGGCCCCTGCCTTCTCTAAGAAACCTTTGAACAACCTGCAGTGACATGTTGTTGTTTTGGGTGTCGGTCCTCCCATGTGTAATGTAAATCGTTTATCTACATACCTGTATAGTTATAGCCATATCCAGATTTATATATGTGCCTTCCTCATTTACATATTTAATTAAATTTGTAACTGTTTAAGTCTATGCCTATGCCATCTATGCGTTTCTTTGCATGCACCTGGTTGGGTGTCTTGGTCTTCATCTTTGCAGGTCAGCCATGTTCCATGTTGATTGACAATATTCCTGCTATAAGCAATGTCGCATTTGTGCGGGATGTTTGAGGTGTATGAATTATATGAGCTACTGCCAAACGCCATCTCTCCTACGTTTCTTGTCCTAGGCAACATGGAAAGGATGCTGTTCGTTGTAATCATCCCTGCAGGATGAGGAAAAAATGAAATTGTCAGCTCCTAAAATCGAGGCACAGTCAGCCAAGCTATTGGTTGGAATTCAAACTACTAGTCATGGGGCATGTGCAAGTTGGGGAATTGCCCAACAGGCATTCAGATCTTTAGGGTTTCCCTTCAGATGAGATCTCTGAAAATATGATATACATATATATATATGCAGGGACCTGTTGTGGGCGGCAGAACTCCGGATATGATAGATTGCTTTCTGATATACGAGTACGTACACACACACACGTACACATATACATACACATATACATACACATATACACATAGATATACATATACATATACATATACATATGCATTTACATTTACATATACATATACATATAGGTTGCTTTCAGATGTGCGCATATATATATATATATGCATAGGTTTATCTATACACATGTCACATATCCCGAAGGAAATGTTTCTGCGCCAATGACACCCAGCCACGGTGAGATCTTGGAACGGCTCTCGTGCACCAAGGTGGCTATATCTTGACCTCAACACTGCCCAGGATTGTTTTCAAATATGATTAAACATGCACATCGTACAGATACATTAAAGTATATATACATATACTGTATATAGGTATGTCATTTCTACTGCTACATATTGCTACTACTATCATTGTTCTTTTCTTATCTATTATCATCATTATGCATGCATACACATACACACACCTTTCTATATATATATACGTATATATATAATATATATATATATACGTATATATATAATATATATATATATACGTATATATATATACGTATGTGTGTGTGTGCGTGCGTGTGCATGTGTGTGTATACATATGTTTGTCTGTCTGTGTGTGTGTGTGTAAACATATGTATGCAAAAATGAAACATACACATGACCAAGAAAATCATTTCTCGTTAAGAAAGAAGACAATGAGACCATTTTGCCAAGAAATTGCCATCCGGGCAGTCGCACGTTTCTCGTCCAATCCAAAGAGGGTGGCTTCAGCAGTAGCCTGGGAAGCCCAGCCCAGCCCAGCCCAGCTGCCCAGCCACCCCAGGAAGCGGCACCGCACCGCGTCTCAGACACGGTTGCCTCGGTGTCATCCAACATTTTGTCGGATTCCACTTGCAGAGATTCCAAGAATTCCATGAGTGACTCCATGTCCTGGGACGGAGCACTCCAAAACTTTGGGGGGAACAATTTTTCATGTCACACCCAGGCTCAAAATGTCAAAATCCCAAGAAATCGCCATACGAATCCGGAAAAACATCTTGAAAGTTCCATCTTTCTGGTGCTTCCAATCTTTGGTTTCAAGTGGGAAGTTTGGTTCCCTCCGCGAGTCCTTGGCAGCCTCCACTCTCTCCTCTACTCGAACGGAAGAAAAGAGCCGCCCCACCTGGCAGAGAAAGTTAGAGGTTACGAATAACCGTCAACAAAATGGATCTTAACAACCCGATTTTGTCAAACCAATAGCCGTCAAAAACAGAAGTCTTGCGAAAAAAAACTACCCGATTTCCTTAAGCAGTTGTTTTCCCGTTGGAAACAATATCCAACAAGTAGTGGAAATTCCTTTGCTTTGCCCGAATTCCACGACGTGGTGAAGATAACCGCCCATTTGAGCACATTGGAAACAAAGCAACATTGGGCCTTGAAAATGATGCTGATTTTCTCCATAACTGATTGACTTTGCAGGTAACAAATTGAATGGTCATTTTACATCATATGTACCCTCAACGATCTAATGTGTCGGTCCATTTGGACCCAAAACTTATGGTTGGGGAACTATGACACATCATTATCACACGCATCAGGGCCAAAACATATCTTATCATCTTATCCTCAAAAAATGATGAGAAAAGACCAGAGGTTCCTGGTGCCATGCCTGCGCCTTGCATAGTTCCAGGTTGAATTCCGCCGTGTTTTCTCAGCCATTGTGCAAGGCAAGGCGATTCTCAAGATCCCCAGAATCGGGGAAAAAACAAAGAAAAAAATTAAGCACCAGGCCCTGGAGCAAATCTTGCGGTTCGAAGTTGAGAAACTTTTTGTCCACGCTGCTGCCAATATGTTCCATGGACTCACCTTGGTTTCCGTGGGAGTTTTTTTTAATCAACCCAACTAAGACAAGGTCTGATCGTCGAGCTGTGCACTGTCACGATCATCATCGGAATCTTCTTGAACCGCCACCTTCATTCACGAATGGGTTTGGCTAAAAACCCTGCTGCCGCTACCCTAGTGTAGCCCGAAAAAGGGTTGTTATCCCTGCGAAAGATGGTTCGTTAGGTATTGATCAATCCCGAAGGCTGTGTAGAATGAGCATGGGATAGCGCGGGTTTCCTTCCACCAAGTCAACCCTGCCTTTCTTGACTCTTGGATTGTTTCCTCCTAGCAAACAACAAAGTGGAGCCCAGCAATGAGACAGGTCAAATTCGCACGGGCGCAAAGGTCCTTCATAGGGCGGATAAACTCTTCCATCCTGCCCATGTGAAGGTGCTGGTTGAAACAATGCGCATACACATGCCAACCCAGGCTGGTGACGATTCAGCGAAGGGTCAAACCCCAAAGCGGGTGTTAGATCACAAATGTCCTGATTGTCTTGTCACTAACATTCCTCATGCGTCGCTTTGAAATTTCCCCACTCGTACCATGTCCTCCCCAGCCTGGATTTCTGCTCGTCAACCTCTGGTTGCGGTTCTTCCTCTGCTTCCTCTGGTTCACCTGGTGTCGCAAGACCCGAAAAACTGAAACCCGTCTTGGAGTGGTTCAACTGAGACAGTCACTCGGGCTATCGAATGGGTCCTTGACATAAATCACCGCCTCAATGCTTGCGGGACATAGAAAAGCTAGCTGTCGCCAATGCCATTGGTCAAGGAAAAGGAACAAAGTGGTTTTTGCATCAAAAAACAGGTTTGTCATTCCAGAAACCACGTTGACCTCAGCACCTCCGTAGTGAAGGTGGAGGACAATAAAGCAAAAAAAACATATATATATATATGTGTGTGTGGGGGGTATTGTATTGTATTGTATTATATTATATTATATTATATTATATTATATATATATATATATAATACATACATATATATGACAGTGCAAGTGGTTTTTGTATATTTCATATTTCAGCTGAAAATGACTCGGTTTCCGTACAATATTTTTTTTCAAGATGTTCGCAGATTCCTGACCATTCACGGCGCAAATTCCCATGCCCAACTCTTCTTTTGCGTGGCAAGATGTTTACACATGGATCAACCACGGTAGGTCCTTGATGGCTTTTACAAAGGCCGTGGTTGTATGGACAGTCTCCATAGCACCAACGGCCGATCCATGCAGCTCTCTTCATGCTGGGGGCCTTGAATTCTCTGGGAAACACGCGGCCAAGTCGCAGCAAATCAAATAATTTCCAAGCACTCTCACTACCGATATGAATAATTTAGTGCACATATTCCGGTCCCTTCCCAAAGATGTAGGATTCTAGATGTGGATATCGGATCTATCATCGCCTATTCAATTGGTGGCAATTTGGGTGCATAGTTCGAATGAGACCACGGGTGGTCCCCGCACACTGGGGTGGACCCATGTTGGAACATGTTTGACACATTGAATATCATATCGCCACACTTCACCGGGTGCCGGATTTCCCCCTACGGTGGGTTCTTTAGTTGGTCACGCAAACGGTCCGTTTGTGTCAATTCCGAATCGCAAAATGCTTACCGGGTTTTCATGAAAGCACACATGCTAAATTGGTTCTGAAGTTGAAAATTAACATGACAAGGCGCAAAAAAAACAGCAATTGAAATGAAAATTGCGCCACGATGGATCACCCCACGACGGAGAGTGGAAGAATGGCCATTGGTGCTTTAAAAAAAAACGAACACATTTCAATGAAAAGTTTCTTGTGTGACAACATGACTGTTTGCTGTAGCGCGAAATGTTCTTCCGTGTTTCTATACACGTAATTTGCCGATGTGTTAACCAAAGTGTGTTTTGATACATGGACATGGTGAACATGAACAATGCGCTCATATTTTGCAACCATCCAGCCGCGATGTCGCAACACTCCAGCGTGCGAATGTGACAACGCGTTCTGATGTGTAGGCCATGTTTCTGTTTCCACCGACAACAAGGCGCATAAAAGCAATTACTGGAATCACGAATGCTGGCCCGGATTTTTTTTCCGCCGGTAAATTTTGATTTGTGCTGTCATTTTTTTTCGCCAGCACTGCGTTTTCATTATGTGGGATGCGCTGTATGGGATACATCCTGTAGTTTGCACAAGGGTTCCTTCAACGCGGCTTGCCCGTGCGGCGCTGGGCATGGTTTGCCCTTGCGGCGCTGGGCATGGCATGTTGACATGGAAACGCAGCAGCTTCGAAGTATAAGATGAGCCAAAATTTCAAAACGTTCAAGCCAAGGTGCGCAACCGGCATTCAAAGTCAGAAAATGCACTCTCCTAGGCCAGTTTCGCAAAAAACCGTGGGCCAATTTAGTTGGCGAAGAAGTTCCCGTAGACAATTTGGTGCGCAGAAGAGGTACCATTCACCAATGCAACGTTGAGTAGGCAAAAATGTTTCCATGGACCACTTTTTAAAACCAAAAACGATCGCACGCGAATTTGGTAAGGAAAAACCCTGCCGCACACGCCGTCCCAACGCCCTTTTGATTCGAAACCAATCGTACAGTGACATTGGTCGGACCAAACAAATGCACTCGCAACTTTTGGGCACGTGTTCAGAAATTTAATGCACACATACGTGCTCGTAGTACCGAACAAGGCGGTGGCGCAAATTTCAAGGATAGCCTATAGCAGTGGAAATTTCAAGGGTAAGAATAAGAATAAGAACCTATAATAACGGTGAGTTGTTGTGATGCATGGATGGCAAAGCGAACCCACTGATGGACCGAACACTGGTTGGGGCTCTCGGTTTTCTCTCTCTCTCTCTCTTTGTCTCTCTCTGTCTCTCTCGTTCTTTGCCTCTCTCCTTCCATCTCGCTCTGTCTGTACAACATCTATCTGGCTGCCTGTCCCTGTGTAATATTTTTCTCCGCATCTCTGTCGGTCTCTCAGTATCTATCTGTTTATCTCCCTCTCACGCACTCTATCATCTCCATCTCCGGTTCCTTGTCCATGTATATTTATATATATATATATCACATTATAGTAAGTTACACTACCCACAACTTCACAGGTAAGTAACTTAGGATGTTCAACTACACTGCAAGTCACCCAGCGGTCCCGAAACGGAAGCGCCCTTGTTTTAATGCAGTGCTTGAGCCAAAGAATGTCGGATGATTCCACGCTGTACATGCACATTGGGTCGAATTTCAGGGACCATAGCATCAGAGAGATGCCTGGCCAATTCCAACTTTCGTATAAGTTGTGATCTACTGATGCAAGAAACGGATGTGTAAAAGGTTGCACGCAAACTTGGCGAAGAGTTTCGGCCCAGCTCTGTGGAGATAAGATCTTATTAAGAGGATTGGCGAGCTGCAACTGGGTGTTGCAGTACTCAAGAGAGATACACTGATCGGTTTCATCTACCAAACTTGAAACTGAAGGTACGGTAACCCTATGGACTCTACCACAATGCCGAAGTTTCACTGAGTAACGATTACACACAATTTTGATGTCTGCTTCGTTATCTTGCTTTAGGATCACATCTGGTCTTTTGCCTAGCAGATACGTTAACATGTCTTGCGCCTGTAAAGTTTTACCGAACAATGCTGTATACATGGCAATGAGCTCAGGTTCTGAGCTCGATCTTGCAAAGCTAGATTGCTTCTGTGACTGCCAAAAGATTGGAAACAGGGTTTCGCCAGTGGCGATGGCAATGAAAATTCCACTAGTGGACTTAGATGTCCACGGGCAGCTCGCAAAGTCAGCATCTGCAAAGACTAGGATTTGCGGACCAAAGCCATGTGAAACTGCTCCAACAGTGACAAAGTCAATGATGCAGTTCAATGATGAAATGGCTCTCAGCAACTGTCTGTCATCCCACCTTGACCAAAGACTGGCATTTTTGAAGCTAACCTTCCAACGATAAAGGCAAGATCAGGGCGACTGAGTCTTGACAGCCACAGCAAGCACATTAGCACTTGAGCGGAGTATCCGCTGAGGTCACCTTGCTCCGACGATTCCTCATCACTCATAGCACTCTCAGGAAGTGCTGGAGAAGTTACAGTCTTTAGGGATTTGGTTTCAAGGCCGCAGAGTTCGCAATAGAACTGAACCGTTTGAACGGCACATGGCCTCACATCAAAGTGCATTGTGGAAGCTTTGGCTCCACCAGTTACACAATGACCTCTTCAATGTTGATATACCTACGAAAGTCATCCCAAAATTGTTGATGCAAACTTTCATCCCCTGAAAGAGTCAGATCATCCACATAGACATTGAAAAGCGACCATTTTGAACCATATTGTATAAGGTAATTTGACGGAAAACCTTCTACTTCAACTGCATTCAGGGCTGCCAACTTTTCAGTCAGGTAATTTTGCCATAGCTTTCCAGCTAATGGATGGCCATACAAAGATTTCCAGAGTCTGACACAGAGCTTCGCTCCTTTTGGATACCTATCGAACCAATGAGGAAACCAAAGCTCCTCACCCAGGACAACCCATGTCTCCTCAAGCAACGGTGCTTGAAGGAAGGCCTGAATGGCATCTGAAATAGAAATCACATGTCCGTGCATCATGCGGAAAAACACTGCGAGATTTAAGGCAACCAGTGCTCTTGGATTGGTGCTGGGTTCCAATGGATCGGACACTACGTGACATCCATCTTGATCTCTTGTATCATCGCCGCGATACACTAGCCTACCTTTGTAGCGATGAAAGGCCACATCTCCAGCGCTTCACTCCACAGAGTGTGAGAAGGTTGGCAATTTTCACTTTATTCCCTGACATTTTTGGTTGCAGTTTTAAATTAGAGACTGTTGTTGTGATGCTTTCGCCATCCCAAGTTTGGTTCTTGCGGAGACCTTCCGCCTCCTTTTTCACAGCTGCCAAAGCTTCTGGATGATTGGCCCGCTCAGATTTCTTGGGGTTCTTGGTGGCCAATGCCGAAGCTTGGATTGAAGGCACGCTATGATAGAACTTCTGCGGGTACAGAGATTCAATGATCGTTTCTGCCATGTCCCGCATGTAAAACGCTGTTTTGGAAGCGTTGCCTCCTATGGCACGTTCATGCTCATGCTGACCATTGCATTTGTATTGATCGAATCAATCTAAGGTCTGTGGTGCTCACTGCCCAAGGCTTCTTGATCAAACCCCCCTGACGACCACGCAAGTTGAAAGCGCATTCATGGAAGTAGGCTCGTGCCATGCCATGTGCTTCTTCAAACTTCTTGAACTGTTCATCATTCCACAATTCATTCTCTGCCGGAAGTTCAAATGCAACACGACCTCCACGACTCAACACCTTATCCATGAAAATCTCTGCTTTTCTCAACAGTTTGAATGATTATTTCCTTTTGTTTTTCTTGAGCTTGTCCCAGTACTCTGGACTCTGCATGGTCCATGGATGGACCGACTCAAGTGCTGCAATAGTGAGTGGCACGAACAAACAACAGAGACCCATGTGTCAGCGCCTGGGAGGTAATCAACCTGTCCAAATTCTTGTTCAAGACTCCAACGGTCTCTGGCACTTGACCCAAGATTGAATTATCTGACCAGGGAAATTCAAACAAAACATCTTGACCGGGAAGGTGATGAATCCTTCGATACTTTGATAATTCAACAAAATGTTCATCGATTTGCAAAGGCTTTACCTACAGCAGCACCAGGAGGAATGCCCACACCGAATGGTAAATCATCTGGATTCACTTCAACCTCTTCAGTGTCCGTCGGTGCTGGACACTCAGGAGCGACATCGTTATAAATTGTCCTGATCAGAAGTTCTTCAAGCGGCTTGCTACCCTCAGCTGGGGGGATGGACGGCGCCTTGCCAATCTTTGCTGCTTTCTCGGCCTTGACGAATGCATCAAACCTTGCTTTACACCTGCTATTGTGCCTGCCGAGTGCTTGCCTGACATTTCTGAACAAGCTTTACAATCCGGAGTGGGGCCAAATCGAATTTCACGATCTAGAATCTAGTGGTTTATATTCTTGGCAAATTAGAGACTGGGACTTCTTACGGAAGGAATTCTTGCCAAACTTGGATCACAAAAATCCGCAAGTGCAAACCCGGCCGCAAATCATAATTGCATAGCTGGATCCACCTCTTCACAAGGCACAGTCATTGCTATCGAATACCCCGAAGATCTGTCCTTCACTGAAGCACAATCTAATGCAAGATACACACCTTTTTGTGTGATTTCGGACCCAAATCATGCCTCCATCCAGCAAACAAGGCCGGAAC